TTACATTATTATATATTTTATACAGTAATTGTGAAATAAAGATTTGTATTTGCACTTGTATCTGTACCCAGTCCAAGTACAATCTGAGCATTCCTCTAAGTAAGGTATTCACCAGCTCAGGAAGTTTGAAGCTGATTCCTGGGTTGTGTAAGACGTGTGGGACACGTCTCTCTTCACCTACCAGTAAATATATGTCTGGGTGTTAGTTGACTACTGTGGACAGCAACCTAGATAAGAGATAAGATCAAATTTTCTTCGGATTTTTAACCCCGGAGGGTTAGCCACCCAGGATAACTCAAGAAAATCAGTACGTCATCGAGGACTAACTTATTTCCATTGGGGTCCTCAATCTTGTCCCCCAGGATGCGACTCACACCAGTCGACTAACACCCAGGTACCTATTTGCTGCTAGGTGAACAGGACAACAGGTTTTAGGAAACACGTTGAAATGTTTCCACCCGCCGGGAATCGAACCCGGACCCTCCGTGTGTGGAGCGGGAGCTTTAGCCACCAGGCCACCGGGCCTGAGGGAACAGGGGTTTACCTGGAGAGGGTTTCGGGGGGCAACGCCCCGGCGGCCCGGTCTGAGACCAAGCCTCATGGTAGATAAGGGTCTGATCAACCAGGCTGTTACTGTTGGGGTGGTAATATACCTTAAATATGGCTGGGACTTTTAATGAGCTGAAGGAGTATAATAACTTTTAACGTGTGGTTGATAGAGCCTTTTGGAGGCGAGACACAGCAATATCAGTGAATGTAATAGTTCTCTGGTGATATATAGCTGAAGGAGAGTGGTTGACAGAACCTTGTAGAGCATCGGTACGTCAATAACAGTCAGTGATTGTGGTAGTGCGGCAGTGATTTAGAGCTGCAGGAGGGTGGTTGCTAGAGCCTTGTTGAGGGTCGGTACATCAAGGGCAGTGATTGCGGCAGTGGTGATTGCGGCGGCGCCACACAGACTACCGGGAGGGAGGTGTAAACACAGACACCAACAAGGTATTTCCGTGTTGGGTGGGCTGGTGGTGGGGAAGGAGGGGAGTTTTGCACCCTCACCTCTCATCTTCGTCACTGTTCTCACATGGCAACCTGTCGTACAGTTAGATCAGAACATGAGAAGGGAGGAACATTGCAACAGACCTACTAGCGCATACTTGGTATGTGCTGCAGATCACTGAGCCACCCGAGAAAGGTTATCCAAGCTTTTTGACTACCCATCGGATGTTGATGTACTTGGAAAAACACTCGCCTTCTCCTTACTTTTGCTGTCCTTGTACGTACTTTTTTAGGGGTCAACTAAACTTGAAGAGTCATTAGTAATTTTAGGTGCCTTCAACTTCGTTCTTTTCTTCATTTTATCCCCCTGCCACTTAGGTATTTCTTAAGTGACATATTGATACTTCGTGGACATTAAGAAGACATGAAACCGGGTACACGTATATTATTGGAAAAATGCACCAGCGGAGATGATCATGAAATATTATTATCAAATACAACGAAAGAGGTACTTTTAAGTGAGCATTTCTGCATTAGTTAAAATGATTTTAAAGAATTCGAAGAACAGGCTATTGGATGGGTCCCCAAGTTCTGCCGTCCCGTAGCATTTTAGGTAGGTAGGTAAAGATTTGTCAGGAAACAGGACAAGTGTTTCCTGACACAGGTCTTAGATGATGACCCGCAGCTGGAGCTTTTGGTCATCTGACCGAGGCCTTCAGTTGGCCTACTGGTCCACCCCTTTGAAAGTTGTGGCCAGTTGTAACCATTTAGTTTGTAAGTAGCATTTTTTAGCATCAATGCTATCCTATGCTCACGTTACTGCTGACATAAGACACTGCTGAGAAGTCTCACTCAACTCATAAGTGAACATTAATAGATTAATTTAAAATAAAATTTGCTTATTTCCAGAAAACATGGCTAACAGATTTTATAAAAATAGGTTAAATGTTTTAGACTTAAATGAAAACCCTCTGGTAATGCAAAACAAAGAATAAAGAAATATTAGGCAATGCCACTCATCCTGTGGGTGAATACATCACCGTAAAACAGTATTGGGTAGCGCCATTCATCCTGTGAAGATTGGAGACCAAACTGAAAGACCTAGTGTTGAGTCATGACTTTATAAAGCTCTACTCAGAAACGTTGTCCCAATAACAGCTTGTTCTGCGTCGTTTGTCTTCTCTTGAGTACAGTCGGCAGTACGCTGTTTGGATCTATGGAAGACGAAGACTTATAGATGTGGGAAAGAAAGCTCCAGGACTGTCGAGAAATCTGCAGAAAGAGCATGATAATGAATACCAAAGAAGATATCAAGGCATAGCTGTGATGGCGTTGTTGTGTACATCTGTAATCTTCAATTTCGTTTTACCAAGAGTACAGGAGAAGCGTAGTCTATAGCACTCCTAAACTATGCAGTGCTCTACAAAACATAGTGGAGATGCTTCGTTTCCGTGCTATGACAATGCTTAAGCGGTCTTAATCTATTATGAAAAAATTGCATTATTTCATATTATCCTCTTTACTATTTTCCCCCTGCACACATCCTAACCACTTAATGGTAAGGTATACGCAGTCACTGACTTGTCCTGCTGTTTACTAAGTCTCCACTTATTGTACCTTGTGAGAACGCATTCGCTTCTTAAGTTGCAAATCTCTCTTCCTAATACTTTGCATCAAGTTCCTTCAGTTAGTATGGACAACAAGGTGACAGGTGGAAAGAATAGGGCACAATATGCATGGAAATCTTTATTATGCCAGGTTTCACCTCGAAGAGGCTTAATCGAGTACCTAATAAAGTGCCTTCGCGGGCGAAACATTGTACAGTTCATTAAGTTTCCCTGTATATAGTGTTTTATTTTTTCCAAGTTTCCTCAACGCTAGACTTCTCGTGTCATGGAATGGAAAGTGAATCCATATATTTACAGTGTTTATATGGACCATACCAGTATGATAAACAAAACTTTGTGGAGATTGTGAGTGAGGACACCTCCTTGCTGTGTGCTCAGCTCCGGTCTATGTACGTATCTCTGAATATTTTTTCCTGGAGCAACACTCTTATACATATCACATTTTCCAAAACCCGCATTAATAGTTTCCATTTAATTCTCTTTCCTACACATTCTTTAAGCGTGTTTGTACACTGGACGTTGTTGAAATAATATTCAAGGTTAACAGTAGGTGCCTCTGCATGGTTCTAATACCAAGTGGTAGATGTGCCTCTGATAATTCGTGAATCCATCTCTTCATTATTTGACTCACGAAATCGTAATGACACGACTGCAAACTCACCATAACACGGGTGGGGTTAGAATCCGCGTTCAGTCTCAAAACTCCAGACCGTCGCGTTAGCCACTGGGCCAGCTATCTACAATACTAGTTATATTTATACACCATAGAAAGGTTAGCATAGGCACCACTGTGACCACAAATACAAGTTTTTAGAGACTCTTTGATCGCGGGTTCTAACCCCTCCCGTAATATGGTTTGTTTCTTCATTATTTCTTCCGCTCTACCCTGGAGCTCCGGATGTGGCGATGCGGTGGTCTTTCCGGTGGTTATTTTCATCTTCTCTACCTGTTGTGTACTGGTTTTTCTGTGTATACTTGTTAGAGCCTTCCACGCCTGCTTTCCGGGTACGTTTCTGTCCAGATTTACCACTGTCTTTGCCTAGCTCATTGTTATTGTGTGATCTCTAGGGGTCCGTCTCAGCTCTCCTGCTTTTCTAACTAATCCCTTAGAGTATTTTACACTTTCACTTTTATTTTAGATTTTCTCCATCTAATTCTTCGTTTAAATGTTGAAGCTGATCGTGAGTTTCATCTAGCCAGTAATTTCAAACCAATAAATAACATAAATAACGAAAACAAATCAGGGAATAGGTGGAATTTGAACCAATGGCAGATAAGCCCTAAAACTCACAGGCCAGTGCGTTAACACTGGTATTTTTTTTTTTATTCAAGCAATAATTTTGTATTTTCCCAATTTAATTCGTCTGCCCAACATTCGCTTTCACGAGGGTGGCTCATTGCTAAGAGATCAGCAAAACCATAAGTTTTAGCGGAGACAATTGTAGCGTCTCCAAAGATATGGGAAGATCGCTGCTGCCTCCGAGGGTATTATGGCCTCAAAGCTACCTAGGGCCCTGAGATTCTCAAAAAAATATTTGCGAATTTGATGTCTCATGCCATTAACATTATTGCCTGAAGAAGAGTTGAGCTCTACTGAGCCGAACTCAAACTTTCTACAAGGTTAATGGACTGATTACAATACTTTTATCTCGTCACTTCTGCTGCTGTCAATCCATTCCCTGTATTTGACTGAAGAAGCCTGCTGCGTAGGCGAAACGTTTCAACAATAAAGATACCCAACTGTTGCACATTTTCCTTATTCATTAACTTATGGGTATTTTATACCATTTTCAACGTCTAACATACATTAAGGTAGGGAGGACCTGGGCTTATGAGATATAGGGATACTTTTCTCTTTTTAGTTCTGCTGTATCGTTGTTTGCAGTTGCTGTGAGATTTTATAAACTCTCTCAAATGAACATCTAACTTTTCGTAGAATTCTTCGTATGTCAGTCTCCTCGACCCACCTGGTATGGATGGCTCCGACCTGGTGAGACAACGTAACACGTATTTATTTGCATGAAGATTTACTCCATCGCCTGATGTTAATAAATAATTATCTGGGAAACTTCCTCTAGTACGTGTCCCATGGATAGTGAGTTATGTTAAAAAATTTTTGTGCCAGTACAACTGTAAGGTTGCACATGGTGCGATCAAGGATGCCGCAACCGGTGAACACTTTGTACCATAAGATGAAAGGCAGGCCGAGCCAGTCATCTACAATAGCGTACTTCCTGCTTCGCATATACCTTTTACTAGAATACAAAAATAGCCTAGCTAACCAAAGCCCTATCCCCTGCACTGCATTCTCACGTGAACTATGACGTGTGGACTAATATATGGGTATCGATAGAGGCGTTAATGCATAGTATGTTTGTGTAGGGAAGAGGGAGAGGTGCGGGTATATAAAGTTGGTAAGCAGGATGGGGGGTCAGTTGAGTTGTGTCGCTGGTGTCATGAAGTCACTTCATCCAGAGCTCCTGACGACCTTCGTCGTCATCGTCACCGTCGCCCTCGCCCAGAACGCTGTATCATTAGGTAGGTCCTCCTCAAGTGATGCCTGTGAACGGCTTCGAACCGTTTTTCTGTCGCATTCTAGCCAGGCTTTCCCGGTGGCCGGATCAGCAAGCAAGTGGAGCCTGGATTACCGGTTCAGTTGATAGAAGTACATCTCTACGCATGCAGGTGCGTATATGCGTATCTGCAGTATACTACTCCAAGGACAAACAAGTAAATGTGTACAAATGTTAGAGTGCAGGAAACACCTAATTATGCAAGACTTTAGGGATACAGCAAGAGCCAAACCTCCACGGTGAAAACAACATAGTTACTCCTCCCAGCCACAAGAAAGTGCTCTGGAGACTACATCAGCCTCTGGCAATGCTGCAAGATTTTTGTGAGATGAAATAGTTTCCCCTCACCTCTCCTCTTGGTCGCCTCACTCCCCTCACCCCCCTTCTTACCCAAACCCCCTCCCCCTTGGCAGGATAACACACTCCAAATTAATGGAGGATGATGGGCGTGTGAGGGAGATGGTCGCGTCCTGTGGTAGTGTTGGTCTTTATTGGTTACGTCCTGTCTCGCCCACCCACTGACACCCACACCCACCCACTGATATCCACACCTACCCACTGATATCCACACCCACCCATTGGCACCCACACCCACCCACTGATATCCACACCCACCCACTGATAGCCACACCCACCCACTGACACCCACACCCACCCACTGATATCCACACCCACCCACTGACACACACCCACCCACTGATATCCACACCCACCCACTGACACCTGCACTCACCCACTGATATCCACACCCACCCACTGACACCTGCACTCACCCACTGATATCCACACCCACCCACATCCACACCCACTCACTGATATCCACACCCACCCACTGACACCCACACCCACCCCTCTGATATCCACACCCACCCAGTGACTCCCACCCACTGATATTCACACCCACCCACACCCACACTGATATCCACACCACCCACTGACACTTAAACCCACCCACTGATATCCACACCCAACTACTGACACCCACATCCACTGATATCCACACTCACCCACACCCACCCACTGATATCCACACCCACCCATTCTTATCCACACCCACCCACTGACATCTACACCCACCCACTGATATCCACACCCACCCACTGACATCTACACCCACCCACTGATATCCACACCCACCCACTGACACCCATACCCACACACTGATATCCACACCCATCCACTGACACCCACACACCACCCCACATGATATCCACACCCACCCACTGACACCCACCCACCCACTGATATCCACACCCCACCTACCCACTGATATTCACACCCACCCACACACACTGATATCCACACCACCCAGTGACACTCACACCTACCCCCTGATATCCACACCACCCACTGACACCCACACCCACACACTGATATCCACACTCACCCACTGATATCCACACCAACCCACTGACATCTACACCCATCCACTGATATCCACCAACCCACTGACACCCACACCCACACACTGATATCCACACCCACCCACCATGACACCCACTGATATACCACACCCACCCACTGATATCCACACCACACACTGAATTCACACCAACCCACTGACACCCACACCCACACACTGATATCCACACCCACCCACTGACACCCACCGATATCCACACCCACCCACTGATATCCACACCCATCACCGACACCCACACACTGATATTCACACCCACACTGACATTTACACCCACCCACTGACACCCACACTCATTGATATCCACAGCCACCCACTGACCCACACCCATTGATATCCACATCCACCCACTGACACCCACACCCATTGATATCCACATCCACCCACTGACACCCACACCCACCCACTGATAGTCACACCCACCCATTGATATCCACACCCACCCACTGACACCCACACTCACCCATGATATCCACACCCACCCACTGATAGCACCACCACCATTGATATCCACACCACCCACTGACACCCACACACCCACTGATACCCACGCCCACCCATTGACACACCCACCTACTGACACCCACACCCACCCACTGACACCCATACCCACCCACACTCACCCATTGACACCCACCCACTGAGGGTGAGACCAGAGAGTGAGACAACTCATAGAAGTAAATATGGAACAAGAAGACTCAAGAATGAGCAGTGCGCAAAACCTCTCATCTGAGTAGCACTGAAACAGAAGAACATCGTCAGCGCTGTCACAGCTGGCCAGTGTGAGAACAGGTTTCACCACTCTCAACAAGGAGGCATTCAGATCACTGTACATGCCAGAAGTAAGATCAGTACTAGAGTACGCGACTTCAGCATGTATTCCGTGCTTCAACAAGCGTAGCAAGGGACCTGTGAGAGATTAAAGGTGTGCAAATGGACTGGTCGTGGATACCAAACACATAATGACGTATACGAAGATTTATTTGAAGACGGATTTGTAGACATCACCAGAAAACCGCTGAGATTAAGGAGACAGGATCATACGTTATATTGTATAATAATCCCCTTGATAAGTGATCCCTAGACGCCTGTGACCACTAGGCTGAACGGCACCATACGTTATGACGCTCAGTAGTTTTGTTTTTCACTGTACTACATGAAGAGCTAAACCCGTGGGGTCGAGGCTCATTCCTTCGCTCCTTAATTATAACACTGTCTATGATGATCAGCGAGGCTGTTGATGACGGAGATGGAAGAGAAACAAAACGAAGAGGCAAGACCATGAACTATAAAAGTCCAAGTGAGCCAGTCACATAAGAAATAATTCCTAATGTAATGAAAATAGTGATTATACCGTCATTCTGGGGTGGTGATAATACTTTTAGTAGTTATTATATAGTGCAGAGTGCATCTATAGTTATTATATAGTGAAGATGGTGTATTTATGTGGGGGTCCCTGACTATCTTGTACATCCCTATCAAATCTCCTCTGCCTCTTCCATCTTTCTGTGACTTGAAGTTCAGTTTCTTAAGTATTTCCACGTCGTTCTTAGTAAGTCCGATGATTGTAAACCTTTGGAATTTTTCGAACTTCTGTTTTTGTTTGAGCAGGTGTAGAGATCTACACTGGTGGTAGGCTCTGGAGTTGTACACTTTCAAACAGTATTCTGTTGCTGATTGTCTTTCATTAACCTAATACCTTTTATTTTGACTTTATTTTGGTTAAAATCCAATAGCTACTTTTCTTGATCATTCAGGCTGTCTAGATCTTAATGCTGATTCTTTGCGCTTTTCATCTACTGGTATCCCTTTCAACAAGGATGCATCATCAGTGAAGAGCGACAGCTGAGCCTATTGCCTCTAGTAGATCATTTATATATATATATATATATATATATATATATATATATATATATATATATATATATATATATATATATATATATATATATATATATATATATATATATATATATATATATAATTAAGAAAGAGCATAGGTCCTACCACTGATTATTGACTTGATATTTTGTGCCTGATACTTCCTCTCCCTTTGTTACTTTTTTTGCCTTCTGCTTAATATGTATTCATAGTAGTTGTTTTTGTTTGACATATACGCATAGATCTACTGATACCCTGATCATTACTGTCTGACTTGTGTTCAACACCTCACTGTGAGGAAACACTGATACATCATCAACCTGCGAGTGCGAAATATATCCCACAGTATTAGTGGCAACAACGCAAAATTGATATTCATTATAGTTACCTTAACATGCTTGTATTTACCTTGATATTACATTTACTCTGATGTAATATTTACCTTGATGTTACATTTACTGTGATGTTATATTTACCTTGATGTTATATTTATTAATGCTCAATCCAAGGACAGGTGAGACTGTTGTTGCCACTAGTTTTAATATCCTCTGACAGTCGAAGCAACTAAAGCAGAAAGAAGACTATATCTGTAAGATAACATTTAGCTCATAAATTGCATGCACTTTTGCTTGAGAACAACTAACATGCATATTTGTGCTTTCACGCTTATCAAGACACATTTCTAATGTATTTTCTACTCATTTGTTACATATATATGTTCAACCTACTTGTGACTTGAACACAAATAACCCACATGTAGGAGACTGAAACTCATAACTATGTTTCGGTCCAACCTGGACCATTGACTAGGCCCTCTGTGTGACTAGTCAGTGGTCCAAGTTAGACCGAAGCGTCGTCGTAAGTTTCAGTCTCCTACGTGCGGGTTATTTGTGTGTTGTTCCTGTCACGGTATTGTGTCTTTATATTACTCGTGACTTGAAAATGGTCCGGTACGGACCGAAACCCCGTCCAGTTTTTATTTCATATTATGGGTTGAATGGTAATCGTGTATGTCCTTTTAAAGTGCCGCAATGACCAGCACTTAAGAGCATTTCTGTGACTATGATAAAAATTAATGTTGTCTTCTTTTCGTTCCCTTTTGTTAAGCGATACAACAATACGGGTTACTAGTACCTTGCTCCCGGTATTCAGTTTCTCTGAATGAAAGAGTTTTCTTCTTTATTTGGGTAACCCTACTGATAATGTGGTATAATAATAATAATAATAATAATAATAATAATAATAATAATATTAATAATAATTATAATAATAATATGGGCAGTGCCTGCACTCTGAAGGTCAAAGGGTCATCCAGTTGTGATGTCAGAACGTCTGAGAAGACGGCGATTACATGAATAATGGTGAATTGAATGAATGATGGTGAGTTGAATGAATGATGGTGAACTGAATGAATGGTGAACTGAATGAATGATGGTGAATTGGATAAATAGTGGTAAATTGAATGAATGATGGCAGTCTTCCTACCTTGAAGGGAGAGACGGCCATCGAGTTAAACAGCAATAATAATAATAATAATAATGTCTCTTATCTAGATGATGCTTCTGCGAGATTGCTGGAGCAATGGACGAGCGACGAGGACACCTCAGAGCTGCACTCAGGGGCCACTGGTCCCCTGATGGAACTACTGCAGGTGACTGAGCACGAGTACGAACCCTACCCTAGCGACGACTTCTTAGATCCTGGAGACCACTTAGATCCGACGACCAACTTAGATCACAGCGACGACCTTTATTACGACGATGATAACGACTCCGACAACGACGACAGTAGTAATTTAGATTTGGATTCAGAGGAGGACGAGGACCTGAGTGAGGAACGACAGAACATCGCTCGCGTCAAAAGGAAGGTGATCTTCGGCGGCGGCGGCGGCTACAGCAGCGGCATGGGGCGTCGGGGCGGCGGAGATGGGGACCCCTATCGCCGCCGTGGCGGCCATAACAACCAAGGCCCTGATTATGGGGGTTACGACTATTCATGGCCCCAGCAGTCTCGAACTGACTTTGTAGATACCAGCTCCTACGGCACGTCGCAAAGGTCGACTTCGTCAGATACTTCAAGTTCTAGCTCTTCAGCAAAGCCCTCTACGAGCTCTGACACTGGCGTAGTGTTTGGTACTCCCATAGCTTCTTCTGCCTCCACCATCACTGGTACCTCCAGGTCAGCAGGAAGCTCCCGCACGTACGGCATCACTCGGTCCTCTCCCTTGGACACCGACAGCTACGCTGACACTCCCAGCACCTCAGGTAGGAAGAGCAAAACAGGACGTCGTGAGGTGAAGAAAAAACTCTCCAAGAACATGAAGTGGGAGATCGCAGAGTACGCTATCAAGCACGGGGCGCAGCGGGCTGCAGAACGTTATGCCCATGTCGTGGAACGAAGACTCAGCGCAAAGAAGATCGAAAAGTTTGTGAACCGGTACCAGAAACAGCTATTGAAGAACCAAAGGCACCAGCAGTAAGTAGGTTGTGGGAGGGTTGCTGAGATACGTGAAGCATCCTGACCAGCTGGAATGCTTGGAAACAAATTTCCACATGTAAAGTCATGGGTGTCTCGGATACGGTTTATTACCCACTACTAAACTTTCCAGTGGTTCAACAAAGTTTCGTTTCGGAACTTAGTTTATTTCCTCTAAACCACAGACTCGAGACCTTGAATGCCATCACAAATGAGAGTGAAGCACAGCCAGAGACTGTGCTCCCAGCAAGAAGCTTATTGTGTTTAATTTGTGTTATTAGCTGTAACAGAATCCAACCAAACTGAAGTACCTGTGTCTATACTGCTAACAACTTTATTATATATATATTTTATATATATATATATATATATATTATATATATATATATATATATATATATAATATATATATATATATATATATATATATATATATATATATATATATATATATATATATATATATATATATATATATATATTATAAAATATATATATATATATATATATATAATATATATATATATATATATATATATATATATATATATATATATATATATATATATATATATATATATATATATTATATATATATATATATATATATATATATATATATATATATATATATATATATATATATATATATATATATATATATGTATGCTGTATATGTTACCTCAGATGACTGTGGGTACCTGTATATTAGACAGCTTCACTTGCTCGTCAAAAATTTTTATAGCTGAGGTTTTCATAATGAAGCACCAGTTGACAGCATAAGGTCATGTAAAGCTAATCCCCTTCTCTTTCCTTCCCTACCTTTTTTCCCCTCTCTGACTTCCTTCTCTCTCTCTCTCTCTCTCTCTCTCTCTCTCTCTCTCTCTCTCTCTCTCTCTCTCTCTCTCTCTCTCTCTCTCTCTCTCTCTCTCTCTCTCTCTCTCTCTCTCTCTCTCTCCTATCCAAACCTTAGGGCTTTGTTTTGATTATAATAAAAGATCCTATCCAAACCCAGTACTATATGGCCTTTAGGCTGAATAATAAAAGACAATAGATGATGTGAATATCCGTAACAAATACCTATAATCCAAATATTTATACATGAGTTGCCACAGTTCAAATACTTATGTTAGGTTCAGGTTTTAAACCGTTTATAGTCGACTTGTGTTTTATAATTAGGAATTGTTATATGCATGTTAGTTTCTTCTGTATGTAGCCTACTGTTTGTCTATCGTAGCCTACTGTCTATCTGTATGTAGCCTACTCTATTGTAAAGCAAAAGCTTATTATAAGTCAAAATAACTAGCATGTAGGTTAGATTGGGTTGGTGTTCATGGTATTATTATATAAGAATAAAGATTGGTAAATTTGCTGTGGTTATACCTGAAATTAATTTTTCAGTTAATGTGTTTTCATTGATCATTGGCTATTATGTCTTGTCCATAACCATTATTCTTTCTGTGTTCATCCTTCGACATGTCAATCATGGTGTATTTGGTATTCTTAGACATGTCTATGGCTCAGTCATGGCATCTATAACCTTAACTCGTCTGTCTCAATCCTATCTTCGATAGTCTTTAAATTGCCTGAGCCTCAATCATTTCATCTTAAGTGTTCTTCAGTATGTCTGTTCTTACTGTGAAATCTATAGCTTTCCTTAGCATGTCTATGTTCTCACTATTGCAGTCATTATGTCTACAAAATTATCCACTATGCTCAGTTTTGTTTCAGCTGTCCCTATGCAACATTTCTCAATAACATTCATTCATTCATTCATTCATCGTCCAAAAATTTCTCAATACTTTGCCATGATGATAAATTTTAAAAAAATGTTTTGTTTCTCTTAAATTGTTGCCAATAAAATATTTAAATATTTAGCTTAATAATATAAACAAATAGTTTTGTAATTCACGCAGTGTTCATACGGCTCAAGCCGTCGTAGCCCTTAAAATATACAACACTGGAACTGGAGTAGGAGTCACGTCTTAACCAGTCACAGCCCTTAAAACCAACAACAACACTGGAACTTAAGTAGGAATCATAGCTCAAGCAGTCATTGTCCTTAAAATCAACAGCAACACCGGAACTGAAGTAAGAACCATGGATCAAGGAGTCATTGACCTGTAAATCAACAACAGTACTGGAACTGGAGTAGGAGTCAAGGCTCAATCAGTCATAGCCCTTAAAACCAACAACAATTGGAACTGGGGAAGGAATCATTGCTCAAGTAGCCATTGCCCTTAAAATCAACAACAACAATGGAACTGGAATAGGGATCACGGCTCAAACAGTCATAGCCCTTAAAACCAACAGCAATACTGTAATTAACGCGGGGTTCATACGGTTCAAGAATCATAACCCTTAAAATCAACACCAACTGGAATTGGCGCAGTGGTCATACGGCTCAAGTAGCCTTAGCCCATAAAACCACAGCGACACTGCAATTGGCGCAGGGTTCATACGGCTCCAGCCATCGAAGCCCTAAATACCTAAAACAGCAACAACTCTGGAATTATTTGAACGAGTCATCCATTGATACTTGTAAGGATAATTATCTTGTTATTGTATATTCTTGAACAATATTAAGTTATTGTATTATCTATCGTTTTACCTTAAACAATACCTAAGTAGTTGAATTTTCCTTGTTGAATTTATATTCTGGATTTGCTGAGATTTGTTTGGTTGTTCTTTTAAAATATATATATATATATATATTATATATATATATATATATATATATATATATAATATATATATATTAAAAGGACAACCAAACAAATCTCAGCAAATCCTATTAATATATATATATATATATATATATATATATATATATATATATATATATATATATATATATATATATATATATATATATATATATATATATATATATATATATATATATATATATATACATATATGTATATATTAATTACCACACTGTAGATCCTGTATAACGCTTTCATTTGAATATACTGCTACTACTACTAATAATAATAATAAACTAAGTGGCTAATGATCCGTGATATGACTTCATAAGGTGATTTGTATCCGTGACTATGAAGTACAGCTTGTATGGACAGTGTGTTGACCCCATGTCAGTGTATATACATCGAGGGGTGCATATCTCTCGGAGTACGAACACTGAACGTTTAATCCATATTTTATGGATTAAAGTATTCTTGAGGTTAGTGTCTGGGTGGACTGGTGCCTTACAGACTCTCGTGTAGTCTATACTAAGTATTTAGCCTAACAAATTAAACAACTCTTTGAGTACCAGGAATTAGTCCCGTGAGTAGATCAGGAATCTAACCCCTTAAGTACAGGAATTTAACCCCTTATTCACAAGAAATCAATTCGTTAAGTACTGAAAATTAACCCTTTAATTTCACGAACTTTATCCTTTATGTTAAGGTAGAATAACCTCTGGGAACTTGGCCAGAACCCTTAGAGTAAAGGATCTAATCCCCTTTGAGAGTCTAACTTGAACTCTTGACTCGACTAATCCCAGTGTATAACTCAGGTTATGCACTCAGGTTAAAGGTTCAATGTATAATATTAAACTGAGTGCATCAACAAACCCTAATGTAACAAACGAGGAAAGGTTTTCGTTTGCGTAAGAAACAAAGCCCGAGTAACCCTGAAATGGGGAATTACAGTTTCATGTGAAAGATGGCATGAATTTCCAGATTGTAATGTAAGCAGCAGCCCATACACAGCAGCCAGTTACAAGGATGCAGCAAAACAGCACTACCAGCATGATTTGTCGCAGTTCTACCTCACAGTATTGTACCTCACAGTCCGGTTGACTACACAGGTGCCTATGTCATGGGCCCGAAATTTCGGTCCAGGATGGCATAAAAAAAAATCCAGAGGATGGCATAGAAAATAAGTCCAGAGGGTGACTAGATACAAATCTAGAAGATGACAAAATAAAAGTTTAGAGGATAATTAAATATAAATCTAGGGGATGACAAAACAAAAGTCCGGAGGATGACGAAACAAATCTAGAAGATGACTTTATACACCACTAACAACATCTACCAGAGTGTACTCTAGATGACATCTGGTCATACAACACATGGTCCGTGTCCTGCGTGTTGCAATCATTATCTTCAGACCTTGTCTGTGACTCTAGACCTTATCCGTGACACGACCTCGTCCGTTACTCCAGACCTCCGTGACGCCAAACCTCATCCGCGACTACAGACCTTGTTCGTGATTCCAGGTATAAAAGTCATATGCTTACTGTTATTAAGTGATAGGGGGGACCATTGATAACGAAGAGTTCTGAATCAGAGGAATTGTTGGAGCTGCCCTCTCCCTCTCCTCGGATCGAACGTGATTATCTCCCCATTCTCAAGGGTGCAATGTAACCTGTTGTGGATCGCATTCGGGGGGGGGGGTATTTAGGGGTGAGGTAACAGCTCTTAGCCTGTAAGACTAAGCCATGTAAAACAAAGGGGGGGGGGGATTTAGCACTCAGCAGTAGCTTTATCTGACCTAGCACGCGCTTCAAGGAGGGTGCCTCTGATACAGGTGAAGAGCTCCTGATCCAAGAAATCGCGGCTATCTACCTCTTTGGATAAAAACTGATGGCCTGTTCCCAAGACCTGCACAACTCTTTCAGGTTTAGCACTTTCCCTTATACAATAATAATTAAAAGAACAATAACGTTGACAATGACATCAATAATAACAACAATAACGGCAACATCAATAACAAAAACAACATTACTACTGGGTTGGAACGAAATCCAGGAAAGAGGTGGTTAAAGAGGCGTTTCTGGGAGCACTCTGGAAGACCAGAGCTTCTGGAAGTAAGACCAATGATCTCTGGAAGTAACACCAAGATTTCTGTAAGTAAGATCAGAGTTGCTGGAAATAAGATCAGAGCTGCTGGAAGTAAGACCAAGATCCTTAGATGTAAGACCAAGGTTTCTGGAAAAAGACCAAAGCCTCTGGAAACAAGACCAGGGCTTCTGAAGTTAAGATCAAGATCTCTGAAAGTAAGACCAAGGCCTCTGAAAGCAAAACCATGCTTCTGAAAGTTAGACCAGAGCCTCTGAAAGTAGGAACGGACCTCTGAAAGTAAGGCCGGGGTCTCTGAAAGTAAGAACACTACCATTGCGAGGAGCCATATGAACCGGACTATAATGGCTATATATGTGTTTAGCCTATACTACACAACCTTCACTTCCTCGGATCAGTCCTGACTCCCTTTCATTTCCCAGGCACTGTATAACCCCTCTGAGTTTAGCGCTACCCCGGTATTATAGGAATACGAAGAGTTGCCGCGGTTGCATCACCAGCCGGGGATAGCGGCGGCCATA